ATATCTTAATCCTACTCAAAGATCTTTCGTACCTAATGGATGACACTCGTCAGCCCCTACAAACCGATAAGATATTCTATATCATCTGTCTAGGGGTACCATCAGGTGTGTGACACACCTGGTACAAAGTACCCTTTTACGTGCAACCCCGTTACACCCTCCCCCACCAGACTGACGTTTACCAAAACGTCAATCGAACTTGTGTTCCTAAGCGAGAACAGTGCGCGTACGGTAAACCTCACGGCAACGTACGCTCTAGCACGATGTCCTCATCACCAAGCGAGTTAAAGACTCTGTGTGACTACCTCGGAAGAGAGGGTGCAGTGGACTATGGTAGCGATACCATTGTCCAGGGTGATACAGGGACAATGTCCGACTCACCGATGTCTGAGGTACAATTTTCGAATACTTTAAGTCCGTTCTCTGAACGTGGAGATGCGAGCGCGCCACTGGCGCAGCATTGATCACCTGGTTCTGGTAAATATCATCGCGAACCCGCTCGATGAGCAACAACAATTGCTTGTCCAACAAGAAGAAAACGCTCAGCGTCATGCACAAATGGGTGCAACCCTTGATCGCCAGCGTGACTATGTGTTCACTTCACCCAGTGTGGAGGAACGTCTACGTCAAGCAGCCCGCCAAACATTGGCGACGTGGGTCATTGTCCATGGGCCTAAGACTCCTAAGGAGGTGGTGAGTGTACAGGCACTTCGCGAGAGGTACCTGGAGCCGCACCTAACGACCCGAGGTCAATACAAGGCACGCCTTGACATGCAAGCACGTGTTGCACCGGTTCCGCCGATCGAGGGTATACCCATTCTCTTGTTCGCAGGCGAAATAGTGAGCGAAGAAGACGATGCCTTCGTCCGCTAGGTGCACCGCATACGTCGCCTCAGCAGTATTTCTGCTCTGAGAGCTAGTGCCAATGTGGCTGATGCGCGTCTCGACCGCAAGCTCTGGTATTAAAAAGCCAAGCTTAAGGCCAGAGGCTAATTGCGTAATCCCACGTGATATGCTTCTGCTACTACGGAAGCCGCGAAGGCTGATCACAATTCTGACCACCAACCCGCTAACCCCCACCACTAGTGGTGGGAAACGGCCTCAGTCTCAAGATGACTTTGGCCACGATGTTCAAAAACATCCAAGGCATAAGGGCAATCTTGCCAAAGGGGTATCTCAAACTCCCATGAGTTCTCAGACTCAGGGTACCAACGCCACTTTACCAGATACTGGTTTTGGTCATGACGACGACGTCGTTTCAGTAGTCTCTCGACATGAAATTGACGACACCCGTGCTCATCGAGCAGCGTCGGTGGCGGTCGGTGTACCGGTGGCAGCCTACAAGAAATTGGTTTTCGAAGTAAAGGGTCTTCAAGAGACCTTGGGTAAGACCCAGTGCATGCTGGATGCGATGCAAAGCCGCCTCCAAGCGATGGAGCAAGCTCAAACTCGGAGCGAGGCTAAGTTGGACTTGCTGATTATCTTGCAGCAATCCGGGGCAATGCCCTTGTCGTCGGCGCAAGCGCCTCCATGTTCACATGGGAAGGATCCCGGTACGACTTGAGTAAGCCTACATAGAACACTGGGTGTGTGAGCAATTTGCGCGGAAGGTTTAGCGTATACGCAAGTCCCTTCTTGGCAGTGACCGTAAACGGTCCACTAAAGCGTGGACGCATCTATGTCTTGAAGAAAGCAGACACTACATTGGTAGGTGGGTTTTTAGCATTGAGTAATACTTGGTCTCCGACCTCATAACGTTCAATACATTTCTGCCTTTGGCATCAGCTTGTTGCTTTTGTTGATCTTGGCTATCAGCCATTGCGTCACGCACATGTCATTAGACATTTAATCACGTTGCGAGAAACTCGCCTACCTGTTTTTGAACAGTAGCAGGGCTGATATCAGCAAGCCGATCGGCAACCTATCCCCCACCAAGCCCTGAATCACGTAGTGATAGCGTTAACGGAACGCGGGGGTGAGTGAGTGAGACCGTTTATACAGAACGGAGTAAAGCCTGTGGATGCATGAACAGCGTTTTTCAACGCAAACTCAACAACAGGGAGCACTGAGCTCCAACGCCTAGGCGTATCAGCGCAAACACTCCGCAAAATGTCGTTGATGACGCGGTTAACACGCTCAGTATGACCGTCGGTCTGCGGATGATCCGCTGTGGACATGTTCAACCGAGTGCCCAGCACCTTGAAGATAGACTTCCAAAACTTTCCAGCAAAGCGAGGATCTCTATCAGAGACAATTGACACAGGCAAGCCATGTTGGTGAAACACACGGTCGATAAAAAGCTTTGCTGTACCTTCAGCATCGACTGTGTCCGGCACAGCCGCTAAATGAGCCGTCTTGCTCAAACGGTCAATGAAGACCACAATACCAGTGTTGCCTTCCATATCTTTCGGTAGGCCAAACACAAAATCCATGCTCATGGACTCCCAACAACCAGTGGGTACTGGCAAACTAGCCAGCGGCGCCGCCGCATGTGCTGAGGGTTGAACCCGTTGACACGTTTCGCACGTACGCACATAGGTGCTCACTCAATCAAGAAGTTTGAGCCACCAATAACTTTGGCTCACCGATCTATAAGTTTTCTCACGACCGAGATGACCATTTAAAGCAGGATCATTTTCCTCATAGAGGATTCAATGCTTCAACTCCTCATAATGAGGTACAGCGATACGAGGGTTATCCTCAATATTCGTGCGATATCACAACAGGCCATTATCGATAGAATATCGATGTAGCCTCGCACGTATACGTGCCGACCATTCTATGTCCGAGTCTTTAAACTCATCGCTCCCAAGAGCACGTAGCAAAGCTACACACTGATCATCCTTGGCATAAGCCTCACGGATTAAGTCAGTGACTGACGACGACAGAGTCGTAACATGAGCAAGCTCATTTTTATGTCGGCGCGATAGCGCATCAGCCAAAGCATTTTGCTTTCCTGGCTTATGCTTGGCCTCGAAGTTATATTCGGCAAAGAAGGAAAGCCAACGAGCCATTCTCTGTGAGAGATGAGGCGGCTGTGTCGCAGTTCGTAATGACGCATGATCGGTATAAGTCACAATTAGCTTTGAGCTAAGCCGATGTGCTCTGAATTTGACAAGAGCGTACTTCATAGCAAGTAGCTCTTTGTCATGAACTGGATAGTTCTTCTCAGCAGCTCTAAGCTGGCAAGATTCTAACGCAATGACGCGCTCGCGTCCATCGACATCTGTCTGTAACAGAGCACTGCCTATGGCGAAGTCAGATGCGTCACAGACGACACTGAAGGGCCGATCAGGATTGGGCAAAGCCAATATTGGCGCATGAAGGGTACTCTCCTTAACCGCTTCAAAAGCATCATGTTCGGTATTACCCCAACACCAATCCACATCCTTTTTCAGGAGATTGGATGATGGCCTAGCCATATTTGCGTAATTTGCACTGTACTCATGTAAGTAATTGGCAAGGCCAAGTCACTTACGTGAGTCCTTTTGGCTCTTGGGAACCGGCCAATTGACTATGGCTTTTACCTTAACGGGATCCGCTCGAAGGCCTTGCTTCCCAATGAAGCACCCTAGAAAGGGAATCTCTTCTGCACCAAAAATGCACTTAGATGCGTTAGCATACAACCTATTCGTCCGCATGCACTCGAGCACCGCTCGTAAATGATCATTGTGGTTATCCACATCTGATCGCCCATTCATTTCACGACTATGGACAAAGCTGTCATCAAAGTACGTTTGTGCATAGCCTCGATGAGTTCTGAACAGTTGCGTCACTAGACGGTTTAAAAGTAGCCGGGGCGTTAGATAGCCCTTGTGGCATAACGAGCCACTCCCAGAGCATACCGCACGGAGTACTCACCGCTGTTAGTGGAATATCACTTGCTCGCATGAGCAGTTGGTAATAACCATCGACTAAGTCGAGTGCACTGTACAATGTACATCCTACCATATTGTTCTGAAGAACATCCTTTCTAGGAATAGGCGTCTGCGCCGGTATAGTGGCTGCATTAAGCTTATTACAAGCATGCACAACACGCCACTTGCCATTTGGCTTTTTGACACAAAATGTCGGTGTTGAATGAGGAGATTTACTCCCATGAACCATTCCAGCCGCGTGCTTAGCACGAAAGAAATCGCCAATGACGTCACGTTGTTCTTTAGGCAAAGGCCACTGCCGTGTTACGCAGTGTTCACTTCCAGGAACCAAGTCAATTTCATGACGTACACCTCTATCAGGTAAAAGACGGATGGTGGATTGTGACACACAATGTAGCGGAGCTACACAGCCCCTTAAGTCAGAGGAAGACTTAACGCTTTACGATCAACTTAGTTTTAAAGAACTTACCACTCTATGAGTCAACAAGCTTTACAGCTTATGGTCCCTGTTCCAGGTAACCTAACGATTCAGTGAATCGACAGCACTCAGTGCTCAAGAGTAGCTACCTCAAGGAGGTGTTTCTAGCTGTTAGTGATCAGTGATCAACGATCAAGACGGCTCGCAAGCCACGTGTCCTTTAGATCAAAATGGGAACTGATTTTATATTTTTGTTAAAGCCTACAGAATATCTTAATCCTACTCAAAGATCTTTCGTACCTAATGGATGACACTCGTCAGCCCCTACAAACCGATAAGATATTCTATATCATCTGTCTAGGGGTACCATCAGGTGTGTGACACACCTGGTACAAAGTACCCTTTTACGTGCAACCCCGTTACACCCTCCCCCCACCAGACTGACGTTTACCAAAACGTCAATCGAACTTGTGTTCCTAAGCGAGAACAGTGCGCGTACGGTAAACCTCACGGCAACGTACGCTCTAGCACGATGTCCTCATCACCAAGCGAGTTAAAGACTCTGTGTGACTACCTCGGAAGAGAGGGGGCAGTGGACTATGGTAGCGATACCATTGTCCAGGGTGATACAGGGACAATGTCCGACTCACCGATGTCTGAGGTACAATTTTCGAATACTTTAAGTCCGTTCTCTGAACGTGGAGATGCGAGCGCGCCACTGGCGCAGCATTGATCACCTGGTTCTGGTAAATATCATCGCGAACCCGCTCGATGAGCAACAACAATTGCTTGTCCAACAAGAAGAAAACGCTCAGCGTCATGCACAAATGGGTGCAACCCTTGATCGCCAGCGTGACTATGTGTTCACTTCACCCAGTGTGGAGGAACGTCTACGTCAAGCAGCCCGCCAAACATTGGCGACGTGGGTCATTGTCCATGGGCCTAAGACTCCTAAGGAGGTGGTGAGCGTACAGGCACTTCGCGAGAGGTACCTGGAGCCGCACCTAACGACCCGAGGTCAATACAAGGCACGCCTTGACATGCAAGCACGTGTTGCACCGGTTCCACCGATCGAGGGTATACCCATTCTCTTGTTCGCAGGCGAAATAGTGAGCGAAGAAGACGATGCCTTCGTCCGCTAGGTGCACCGCATACGTCGCCTCAGCAGTATGTCTGCTCTGAGAGCTAGTGCCAATGTGGCTGATGTGCGTCTCGACCGCAAGCTCTGGTATTAAAAAGCCAAGCTTAAGGCCAGAGGCTAATTGCGTAATCCCACGTGATATGCTTCTGCTACTACGGAAGCCGCGAAGGCTGATCACAATTCTGACCACCAACCCGCATAACCCCCACCACTAGTGGTGGGAAACGGCCTCAGTCTCAAGATGACTTTGGCCACGATGTTCAAAAACATCCAAGGCATAAGGGCAATCTTGCCAAAGGGGTATCTCAAACTCCCATGAGTTCTCAGACTCAGGGTACCAACGCCACTTTACCAGATACTGGTTTTGGTCATGACGACGACGTCGTTTCAGTAGTCTCTCGACATGAAATTGACGACACCCGTGCTCATCGAGCAGCGTCGGTGGCGGTCGGTGTACCGGTGGCAGCCTACAAGAAATTGGTTTTCGAAGTAAAGGGTCTTCAAGAGACCTTGGGTAAGACCCAGTGCATGCTGGATGCGATGCAAAGCCGCCTCCAAGCGATGGAGCAAGCTCAAACTCGGAGCGAGGCTAAGTTGGACTTGCTGATTATCTTGCAGCAATCCGGGGCAATGCCCTTGTCGTCGGCGCAAGCGCCTCCATGTTCACATGGGAAGGATCCCGGTACGACTTGAGTAAGCCTACATAGAACACTGGGTGTGTGAGCAATTTGCGCGGAAGGTTTAGCGTATACGCAAGTCCCTTCTTGGCAGTGACCGTAAACGGTCCACTAAAGCGTGGACGCATCTATGTCTTGAAGAAAGCAGACACTACATTGGTAGGTGGGTTTTTAGCATTGAGTAATACTTGGTCTCCGACCTCATAACGTTCAATACATTTCTGCCTTTGGCATCAGCTTGTTGCTTTTGTTGATCTTGGCTATCAGCCATTGCGTCACGCACATGTCATTAGACATTTAATCACGTTGCGAGAAACTCGCCTACCTGTTTTTGAACAGTAGCAGGGCTGATATCAGCAAGCCGATCGGCAACCTATCCCCCACCAAGCCCTGAATCACGTAGTGATAGCGTTAACGGAACGCGGGGGTGAGTGAGTGAGACCGTTTATACAGAACGGAGTAAAGCCTGTGGATGCATGAACAGCGTTTTTCAACGCAAACTCAACAACAGGGAGCACTGAGCTCCAACGCCTAGGCGTATCAGCGCAAACACTCCGCAAAATGTCGTTGATGACGCGGTTAACACGCTCAGTATGACCGTCGGTCTGCGGATGATCCGCTGTGGACATGTTCAACCGAGTGCCCAGCACCTTGAAGATAGACTTCCAAAACTTTCCAGCAAAGCGAGGATCTCTATCAGAGACAATTGACACAGGCAAGCCATGTTGGTGAAACACACGGTCGATAAAAAGCTTTGCTGTACCTTCAGCATCGACTGTGTCCGGCACAGCCGCTAAATGAGCCGTCTTGCTCAAACGGTCAATGAAGACCACAATACCAGTGTTGCCTTCCATATCTTTCGGTAGGCCAAACACAAAATCCATGCTCATGGACTCCCAACAACCAGTGGGTACTGGCAAACTAGCCAGCGGCGCCGCCGCATGTGCTGAGGGTTGAACCCGTTGACACGTTTCGCACGTACGCACATAGGTGCTCACTCAATCAAGAAGTTTGAGCCACCAATAACTTTGGCTCACCGATCTATAAGTTTTCTCACGACCGAGATGACCATTTAAAGCAGGATCATTTTCCTCATAGAGGATTCAATGCTTCAACTCCTCATAATGAGGTACAGCGATACGAGGGTTATCCTCAATATTCGTGCGATATCACAACAGGCCATTATCGATAGAATATCGATGTAGCCTCGCACGTATACGTGCCGACCATTCTATGTCCGAGTCTTTAAACTCATCGCTCCCAAGAGCACGTAGCAAAGCTACACACTGATCATCCTTGGCATAAGCCTCACGGATTAAGTCAGTGACTGACGACGACAGAGTCGTAACATGAGCAAGCTCATTTTTATGTCGGCGCGATAGCGCATCAGCCAAAGCATTTTGCTTTCCTGGCTTATGCTTGGCCTCGAAGTTATATTCGGCAAAGAAGGAAAGCCAACGAGCCATTCTCTGTGAGAGATGAGGCGGCTGTGTCGCAGTTCGTAATGACGCATGATCGGTATAAGTCACAATTAGCTTTGAGCTAAGCCGATGTGCTCTGAATTTGACAAGAGCGTACTTCATAGCAAGTAGCTCTTTGTCATGAACTGGATAGTTCTTCTCAGCAGCTCTAAGCTGGCAAGATTCTAACGCAATGACGCGCTCGCGTCCATCGACATCTGTCTGTAACAGAGCACTGCCTATGGCGAAGTCAGATGCGTCACAGACGACACTGAAGGGCCGATCAGGATTGGGCAAAGCCAATATTGGCGCATGAAGGGTACTCTCCTTAACCGCTTCAAAAGCATCATGTTCGGTATTACCCCAACACCAATCCACATCCTTTTTCAGGAGATTGGATGATGGCCTAGCCATATTTGCGTAATTTGCACTGTACTCATGTAAGTAATTGGCAAGGCCAAGTCACTTACGTGAGTCCTTTTGGCTCTTGGGAACCGGCCAATTGACTATGGCTTTTACCTTAACGGGATCCGCTCGAAGGCCTTGCTTCCCAATGAAGCACCCTAGAAAGGGAATCTCTTCTGCACCAAAAATGCACTTAGATGCGTTAGCATACAACCTATTCGTCCGCATGCACTCGAGCACCGCTCGTAAATGATCATTGTGGTTATCCACATCTGATCGCCCATTCATTTCACGACTATGGACAAAGCTGTCATCAAAGTACGTTTGTGCATAGCCTCGACGAGTTCTGAACAGTTGCGTCACTAGACGGTTTAAAAGTAGCCGGGGCGTTAGATAGCCCTTGTGGCATAACGAGCCACTCCCAGAGCATACCGCACGGAGTACTCACCGCTGTTAGTGGAATATCACTTGCTCGCATGAGCAGTTGGTAATAACCATCGACTAAGTCGAGTGCACTGTACAATGTACATCCTACCATATTGTTCTGAAGAACATCCTTTCTAGGAATAGGCGTCTGCGCCGGTATAGTGGCTGCATTAAGCTTATTACAAGCATGCACAATACGCCACTTGCCATTTGGCTTTTTGACACAAAATGTCGGTGTTGAATGAGGAGATTTACTCCCACGAACCGTTCCAGCCGCGTGCTTAGCACGAAAGAAATCGCCAATGACGTCACGTTGTTCTTTAGGCAAAGGCCACTGCCGTGTTACGCAGTGTTCACTTCCAGGAACCAAGTCAATTTCATGACGTACACCTCTATCAGGTAAAAGACGGATGGTGGATTGTGACACACAACGTAGCGGAGCTACACAGCCCCTTAAGTCAGAGGAAGACTTAACGCTTTACGATCAACTTAGTTTTAAAGAACTTACCACTCTATGAGTCAACAAGCTTTACAGCGTATGGTCCCTGTTCCAGGTAACCTAACGATTCAGTGAATCGACAGCACTCAGTGCTCAAGAGTAGCTACCTCAAGGAGGTGTTTCTAACTGTTAGTGATCAGTGATCAACGATCAAGACGGCTCGCAAGCCACGTGTCCTTTAGATCAAAATGGGAACTGATTTTATATTTTTGTTAAAGCCTACAGAATATCTTAATCCTACTCAAAGATCTTTCGTACCTAATGGATGACACTCGTCAGCCCCTACAAACCGATAAGATATTCTATATCATCTGTCTAGGGGTACCATCAGGTGTGTGACACACCTGGTACAAAGTACCCTTTTACGTGCAACCCCGTTACACCCTCCCCCACCAGACTGACGTTTACCAAAACGTCAATCGAACTTGTGTTCCTAAGCGAGAACAGTGCGCGTACGGTAAACCTCACGGCAACGTACGCTCTAGCACGATGTCCTCATCACCAAGCGAGTTAAAGACTCTGTGTGACTACCTCGGAAGAGAGGGTGCAGTGGACTATGGTAGCGATACCATTGTCCAGGGTGATACAGGGACAATGTCCGACTCACCGATGTCTGAGGTACAATTTTCGAATACTTTAAGTCCGTTCTCTGAACGTGGAGATGCGAGCGCGCCACTGGCGCAGCATTGATCACCTGGTTCTGGTAAATATCATCGCGAACCCGCTCGATGAGCAACAGCACTGGCCAGCCATGCTTTCAGCATACAGTGACTCGTTATCACAACGAGTAACACTAAACGGAGTACGTGCCGTTTCACTAATTTTAGACGAGCTAGGCTCGAAACTTATGTTTGTAACATCGGAGTTAGATAACTCAGACATTCCAATATCCAGCACATTGACATCTTCTTTTAAAGACTCGCGCCAATAGCACTTCTGTTGCCTAGCGAAGGTGGTTTCATGACGCTCCAAAACTTCGCTAGGAACATTGCGCGTAGCGCCTAAGGTCTTAGACCTCCAATCAATCCATGGCTCATGGCGTTCAAGCTAAGCCATACTTAGGATGAGATCATATCTCGAGATCAAATCTAGGACAAGACAGCGCTCAATACTGTCAAAGTCTAAGAACTTTATACCTAAGTTCAATGGTACTTTAGGCACAGTTACGCGACTTCCAGTCGCTAAACGAACCGTGATAGAACCACCCTCATGCGCTGTAAGCGCCTCAGCATAACGCTGACTCCCCTCAAGGTAACGGCGTCGAACATAATTGCAAGACGCTCCAGAGTCGATCAATATCGATCAAGGCCTCTCAAACCCCTTATTTTGCCTCGGCGACTAACAAGCCAGACTTGTATCCACGCTCCATACCAATAAGTACGGATCTCGTTGGGACTAAGCTCTAATAGACTTTACCTCCTAAATGCGTAACAAAAACCAGTTCTTCCCCAGTAGGGCGCCCCGCGCCTACTAAGCGTCGGCATTTCTCCGTGCCATGCCAGACTTCTGACTCGGGGTAGAGTGTTGGCTTGTAGCCTGGCGTTGCTTACGCAAAGGGCAACCAGGCCGCAAGTGTTTAGCACTTCCGCACGTAAAACATCGGCGTACGACGTGTTGCTGCTCAGCAGCTTGAAGCTCAGCTTCACCTTCATCTTCAGCATAGCTGATATTCATCGGTTCCGGCCTATTTTAGGCAGTGGTACCCGAAATATTTGCTCTCACAGAGCGAGGGTTGTACCCATTCCAGCAAGCCTGGCCGACCTGAAGTTATGCTCAGCATTAAGAGCAATTTCCATGGTCTCTTCAAACGTAGAGGGGTGAACCCGAAAAACTTCGGTTCTGGCAATGCCAGTACGTAGACCTTCCATGAAGATAGTGACATGGACTGCCTCAGGCAGAGGGTCAGACTGCATTGCAGCCATGGGCGTTCGCAGCTCTTGGACATAGTCCGATAGTTCATTCTTATCCTGACGGGTAGACAAGAAAGCGTGAACGCACGCGGTAAGCTTGGTTAGTTGGTGAGAACACGTGTACAAATTGTGACTTTAGCGACTCCCATGTAGATAACGCTAAGTCGACCGACGTGCTGCATGTCAAGGCCCATTCTCTAGCTCTTCCATTAAGCCTTGAGATAGCCAGCAAGATCTGTTGATGGTCAAGCTTGATCAGGACTAACCTCATGGCCATCTCAATCTTACGAATCCAGAGGATGAGGTTTTCACCCTCCTTACTGAAGAAGTTTTTAGCTTCCACTCTAAGTGGACGAGGCCTTTCCTCTTCGTCTGGTACAGACACATAGCGTGCAGGCATAGCCGACGCTACTTGGGCCTGGACCTGCCCTAGAAGGGTCACTTTATACTGCATGAAGCCTTCAACACGTGCATTTAGCACCTCAGGGCCTTGTGAGACAAGGAACTTCGCGTACTCTGGACCCAAAGATGCGGTCAGGTTATCAAGCGCGACCTTAAGGGCCTCAGAGAGGAGAGTGGGGTTTTCCATCCTCACAGAGGAACAGTCTAAAAGACTCAGGTGTTGATTGACTACCTGTGCTACCAAGTGTAGCGGAGCTACACAGCTCCTTAAGGTCAGAGGAAGACTTAACGCTCAACGAGCAACTTAGTTCAAAAGAACTAGACTCAGTGAGTCAACAAGCGTAAAGCTTATGGTCCTTGTCGACAGCACGTAGTGCTCAAGAGTAACTAGCTACCCCAGGGAGGTGTTGCTAACTCTTAGTGATTAGCGATCGACGACAAAAGGCGCCTCGCAAGGCACGTGTCTGTAAGATCAAAAGGGAAACTGAAATTTATTAAGATTAACACCTATAGAATACCTCAGCCTAAGTAAGTAACACTAAGATCTCTCCTATCTAGTGGCTGGTACCGGTCAGCCCCTACAAACCGATCAGATAATCTACATCTCTTCCAGTGGGATATCATCCGTGTGTCTAAGACACAGGGTACCAGGTACCCAACTACGTGTGACTCCGTTACATCTATGCTTCTTGGTAAGGCAAGACTCATCCGGGCCTGTAATTTACTGGAACATACATTTAAATCTAACTTTCAGCACCAGGCATTGCCACGGAGATCCACAACACAAA